TGAAAGAATAGACGTATTCTGTCCGTATGTTCCACATGTCTTAAAAATAAATGAAGCTGGTGTTTTATTGTAATAATAAATAAAGTTTGAGGATAAAAAAAGTATATTTTAATTTACTAATACCTTGAAAATACCGAACATATTGTTACAATGACCTTAATTAACCTAATAAATTTAGTTAAACCCAATGACCAAACGGAGTTTATTATTTTCAAAGAATATATTTATGTATTTGCATTACTTAAGTTTTAGACTTCCTCTAAAGTTTTCATAAAGAAATTGAGTTTGAAATCTTTAAACTGAGACATTTAGTTAATTTGTTGGTATGCCACTGCCTTAATATTAGACAGAGAGAAGTAGTTTGTACTACAAGAGGTATTAAGACAAAATAACTAATTTAAAACAAAATTATCACCTTCACCAATTCATAAAATAAAATAAACAAAAAATATAATGAATTAAATTAATTAGTGCCCAGCTCAGATTTGAACCCAGGCCTTTCGCTTGGAAGCTTAGTTTTAATACTCGTAATTGAATTCTACACAAGAATTACTTATTTTAAAGTATATTTATTATCAATGACTAACAAATACACTGACAATTGGTTTGAGAGAATTGTCATTTATTCAAAAAAAAAAAAAAAAAAAATAGTGGCCGAGTGAACAAAATATTAATATCATTGGTGGATATCATATTTGTGCAGTTTTCTTACTAGGTAGAATGGATATAAAATATATTCGTTCAGTAGAACACAATGGCACACTTTTTATTTTAGTAATCTGTCCGTAGAATACCTATAATAGCTATATAATATCCATGTGGTTTTAGAAAAACTAATTTAGGAATTTTGCATCATCCATATCGTAATCTTTAAAGTTTAATAACCATATTAATTTAAAAATAAGAATTCTCTTAATTGCAAACGACAAATTTTTGATAAGCACAATTGTAAAATATTGAAGGCCTAAAAAGTATACTTATTTTTACAATAAACTCGCATTATAGAATTTAGGTAGGTAATTAACTAATTTTATTTTGATTCTGTATTAATTCATAAGTAGAGCTAAGAATATATGCAAAACGCCAAATTTTGCATATGTTGCATATATATACAATTTTTGATTTTGAATGAATATATTGACATTTTGTTAATTTTTTGGCATATATCTGACGTACTAATTGGCTGAACATATTAAAATTATGAGTTTTAGACCAAAATAATATTTTGTGAAATGCCTTTACAGGTCGATTTCCTAAAATTTTTAAGGATTAACTTTTCCCTGTAATAAATTACGGTTAATGGTGTAGGTACTTGAGAGGATTAAATTATAAACACCCTCCTTAAACCAACAAATTTTGCTAAATATCCTTTCAGGTAGTTGTATTATTATCTTTAAATTTCTAAATGACTCAGTTTACTTTCAACTTCATTTCAGTCTTTATTGTTGTGTTGTGTTAACCAGTAGGAAAAATGGTAAAATTAATTGAGTCGTGGGTAAAATCTTATTCAGATTTTGTTGTAGAAGGTGATAACCAGGTGTTTTGTAAAACATGTTCTAAAATTGTAAGTACTTTTTTATTTTATATTTTATTTTGACCTTTCACAATGGTAAATCAAACGACAGTAAAATATTATTTCAACTCACAGTTAAAAAAAAAGTAGGACAACTTTACAACTTACGCATTTATTTAATTTAATTAAAACTTCAACATTCACAGGAATTTATTTGTTTTAGATTCCATGTAAAGTTTCAAATCGACCAACACGCGAAAACACCCTCATATAGCAAAGCAGAAATCTAAAGACACCCGCAGACAAAGTCAACTTCCCTTGAAACAATATTTAGAATCTGGATCGTCTAGAAGTAAACAAGCTATTTTTAATGAAGATTTATGCAAAGCTTTAGTGACTTCGAATATCCCTTTAATACGATTAAATAATCCAAATCTTCGATCATTTTTGCAACAATACTGTAAATTTAATATTCCAGAGCAAAGTATATTACGCAAACGTGGTGTTGCCAGTTTGTACATTGAGACTCTTAAAAAAATTCGTGAGATTACCGTTGGAAACCATTTTTACATTTATTGTGAATGAAACAACAGACTCTTGTGGTCGATATAGACCCCATTTAATGATAGGTTTATTACGCGAAGAAATGCAAATTGGTCCATATCTAATCGCTTCAAAGCAATTAGATAAAACAAATAACTTGACAATAACTCGTTTTATCCAGACAGAATTGTCTTTCTTTTTTCTTCCGGAAGCCGTTGCAACAGAAAAATGTTTATTAATTGCTGTTATCCGATACTGCCCCGTACATGGTAAAAGCCGCACAAAATTTAAAAATGTTTTATAAAAACTTAATCCATGTTACATGTTTGGCTCATGGCCTTAACAGAGTTGCAGAAGAAATTAGGTCTAACTTTCCTTTAATAAATGATTTAATTAGTAATGTAAAAAAAAATATTTCTTAAAGCTCCTCTAAGAACTCAATTGTACAAAGAAAAATTTCCTGAATTACAGATTCCACCGGAACCTGTGATTACTCGGTGGGGTACCTGGCTTAAAGCTGCCTTTTTTACGCAGATAATTATGAAAAAATTAAAGAAATCATATTTGATTTTGATGATTTATGTAAGGAAAATCTAATACAAAGAAGTTCTTTCAAAATCACATATTACCAAAGCAATTGGTGTTTTTAAAAAATTATGCATTTGTACCCAAAATTATATTAGATTTAGAACAAAAAAATTTACCTTTGGTGACTTCCGTAAATTTAATTAAGACGTTCGAATCGGAGTGTAAAAACGTCCAGGGCGATATTGGAAAGACGATTTTTCATAAATTTTCAAATGTAATTTTAAAAAATTAAGGATTTATTGTTTTACGAAACCTTGCTTATATTTATTATTATTTATATTATTGGTAACTTTGAAGATATTATTACCGTTCATCCATATATTTCAGGAAAATTTAAGTTTGCACTTATTGTAGATTTTGAAAGTTTTTCTTTGTACAAGTACATACTTACTGATAGAAGACAATCATTTAATACAGATAATTTAGAAAAACATCTAATTGTTCATTCGTTTTATAATAATGTTGATTTGTAAATAAAATTAGTTAATAATTAAATAATTATTAAGTATTATATAAGGTATTGTAAAATAAAACAAATAATAAATATTAATAAACTATTTCGATCAAATAACAAATTACTCTTATTGCATATGCTCTGCATATTTTTCAATTTTTTACGCATATATTGAAGTACTCGTATTTTGCGGCATATATATGCATATATTTAACTACTTTTTGGTTGCATATATTCCTAGGTCTATACATAAGTATTAATGACAATAACCATACAATTTTAGATTAAATGTTTTTATTGTTTTTATTGTTTTATTCCGTGGTTGTCATAAAATATCATTTAATTGTTCAAAAATATTTTATGCATTTACGTCTAGTTAACAATAATGTACTGCAATCACTGACTACTCTATATTATCATGTATTTGCTCCGTGCGTTACGGCAGCGCCAAATAAAATATGTACTAAAGGGCAACTTTGCGTATATTAACAGTATCGTTTTAATTAGAATTCGTAAATAAAAAATGTGTTTTTTTTTTAGTTTTAATAAAAGTACATTGATTCATAAAACAAGTGAAAAGATTAATTTATTATTATATATTTTTATTACTTCAGCTAAAAAAAGTAAGTATAACATTTAATAAAAAACAAATATTAAAACATGTACACAGAATAGGTAATTAGGCAATATTATTTACTAGAGAGTTTATGAAAAGTTGCCTAATGAAGTTACACGTTAATGTCAAACCTGTGTTCAAAAAGTATTCCCAAAAAAATAGTTGTATTATTGTAATATTTTCTAGTGTAATTTATAGGTACTTGTTTTATTCGTTTTTAGTTTGAAAGAAAACGTAGAATTAAAAGTTTCAATTAATCAGTGACAAAATTGCATTCCAGATACAGATATAATAATAATTAAAGGCATCAGTATATACTTTCTGAACATGTACTTTAGGAATTTTGAAATACATCGTAAAATAATATAATAACAAATTATGTATATAAATTCTTTTCAGTTTTCTGATATTTTCTATTTTAAAAGGTATTATATACTCTTTGTAACAAAAATTAAAGTTTGTAATCAATTTTTCCTTCTTACTAATTAAAGGTACGTTTACTTCTTTTAATAATAATTTAATTTCTATTTTGCTACTGAACATTTATAAAATTTATTATATTTTTTGCTAGTATTTCTACAATTGACCACACATCAACTCCAGTTTCTTATTGTATTGCTTTTAACTATTATTTTAAAAATAAGTAAAATATATACGTATATTTGATACGCCAAAATTACAAAATATCGCCCTAAAATGTGCGAATTATCCGCAGCTAGCGCTAGTATCGCTTTTGCTTCCCATGCCATGACTTGGCGAATAGAGAAATAATTTTTTATACCTAATTAAACTTAAAGTGATAGTGACGTAAGCACAAATGGATAAATTTCGCACAAAAGTATCAAAATATATTTTTGAAAATAAACGTTACAATATGGATAAGATACATTAATATTAGTCTAATTATAGAAAGGCATTGAAAAAGAAAATTGAAAAAGTAGCCATGCATTCACAATTTTACTAGTAAAATATCTATACGTTAATAAAAAAACTCTTAAATGAGTTATTAAATTTTAAGTAATTGTAGTGCAGACAACAAATTTTTAAAAATTCAACAAAATTTAATTCATACCAGCAAAATAAGGATGCGTATATATCCGAAAATTAAACATTTATCTACATTTAGGTTCTTGAAGATTAAACAACAAAACAAACATCACATTTAAAGAAAAATAATGAAGCTAAAAATTATTAAATAAGGAAACAAGCAACTTTCTGCTATTTTGCAAAACATTTATTTGATTTTTAAATTTTAAAGATATAAATCGAAACAAAATATTCCTTACCATATTTTTGTATTAAATATACACTTTATACGTCTGTAGCAAGATTACAAATATTAATAAATAATTAATCTTTCAATTATAAATAGCGATACTAGTAATAATATTTTGTAAACAGTTACCGATTGACCTAAACTGCCTGAATATTTTTTAAGACCTAACTCAATAATGTTATCAATATATAAGAATGTTCAGTGTTTCTCAAAAACATGTTTACCGACAAGCGTTTGAAACTTCTTCTTAAAATTACGCAATTTTAAATTTTCGTGATAAATATTGTTAGAAGGTGATAGAAAAATTGATTTCAAAATTTTACAACTGCTGAATACATTTCTTTCGATCATTTTTCGAAGTTTTCTTCATTTGTTTCTAGATTAGGAACCATAAAATATATTTTATTGCTTTTCTTGACCCCTACCGTCCCTTAGTGTCGCACGTCCAGCATTTAAGATCCTGATGCCAGGATAATAAGGGCATTCGAACACAGTGGCATTTCTGGGAGTTTTAAAAAGAGCCTAGAAAATATTCGATTTTGTGAAGAACAATTATGGTTAGGGAGCTAAAGAAAATCATAGGGAATCGAGTTTTAATGCTCATGCATAGGTGAAAAAAAATCAGATGAAACAGAATAATCGAAAAAATAAATCAAAATTGTAAAAAACTTTCCTAACTTATTAACCCGTACCTGTCAAATAATTTATGAAAGTTTTTTATAATTTTTATTTTTTTTTTACTTAGTTATAATGTTAAGACCACTATATAGATACTAAAAAAAATTGCCAGGCGTGTCAGTCCCTCAAGTTTTTATTACAAAATTATTAATAAAAATATTTAAGCAAAAGCGTGAATTTTATATTTTTTGTTATCAATATTGTGGATAATAAATTATACAAATAATTAATACCATACAATTTTGCTATTAATTAGTGATATTTAGTAAAATAATAAAATAGTTTTTATATCACTCTCATCCGATCCACTATCTTCATCTACATCAGTATTTTTAATAATTATATTACTGTCCTCCTCTTAAATCAATAATGGTTTAATTATATAATAATATTCAGTTGTTTTTCAGTTTATTTTATTAAATTGATCACATTATTAAAAGAATAATTATTTATTATAATTTGAGTTTTGTAAAAGTTCCTTAATTTTATTATTGTTGGTATTGAGACAAATTATCTTTAAGATAAGTTGGGGTAATTGCGTAGTAAAATTTGAACAGTTCATCTTTAGGTCTCCACTGTGTTAATATTTCACTTTGAAAAAATCTGAAACTTACTGGGTATATTCTTTGCAATGTAATTTATTATTTTTGTTAAATAAAATAATTTTCTTTATTTCTCTTACCAGTTTTTATATCATTTTTTTAAAATGATGTCAATATATCACATTTGCCCCATGATTTGGGGTAAATGTGATAACGTCGTCGAAGCGCTTATGCAGTTGGTTAGGTAGCCTGTAGGGGGCATTTGTAAAAATTTATAAAATTTTGTGCATTTTGGTAATTGAAAGGTCTGTTTTGGATTAAAAATAACGCATATAAGTACTAAATTTGTAGTTTTATCCAATTTTAATACAGAAATAAAGCAAAATGCAAAACTTATTTTATATTACTTATTAATATAAAAAAAACTAGAAAATACCAGTAACAAATATTTTTTTTGTAATACATATTAATTATTAGAGATTAAAACATTAAAATTGCACTGTGAACTGCACTGCCCCTCTTCTGGTTTCTTTTCGTTTAGGAAGAACTTTTAATATGTTTGTACTCTCGACCATTGAAATATCTTTAACGTCAGGTCAAAAGAACTTATTTTTTTTGGATCTTCAACATTTGATAAGCCATTCATCAGAGTCTAGTTTCTTGATTATTTTGCCAACAAAATGCTTAACAATTTTCATTGTTGCAAATTGGACCAACCCACTTATTAATTTCTAAAATTTGCGGTTCCTCATAAGTTTCAATGTTCTCACTTTCTAATAATTCAGATATAAACTCCTCTGAATTATCTGACTCTTGAAATAATAAATGTCCAGATTCACTGGAGAAGTTAGATGCTTTTCTTACCCTAGCTTTTAAATTCGCCGTATCGGTAACATCATCAACATCATCTTGCTTTGCCGCTGTTATAATTTCAGCCCCAACCGCTAATTTTTTTTTGTCAATTTTGTTGAAGCTTGATTTTGAGGCACGCATTTTAATAAAAGTGACTCAAATAAAGCGTTGCTAGTGATGGCTTTAGCTGTGCTATTGGTCGTCTCAGCTAGGCTAGTGTTCGCCTCATCTAAATTGGTGCTCGTTTCTGCTGTGGAGGTATTTACAGAACCAACTTTAGCGGTTTCCAAATTGTTTAAAGTGTTTGAGGTTTGAGATTCTTATCTTGTCAATGCCTTACTGTCAAATTTTTCTCTAGGGACTATTTCGTTGTTAAAAGCAACAATGCCGTCTTTTCCAAAACCATTTACAATGACGCTGAAATTAGCTTCTAACCAGGTATCCGTAATAAATTAGAAAACAAATTTTTTGGAAGGCGTCGTCCAATGTTATGTCGTTGCCATTTTACCAGCTTTATATCCCAAGCATCTTTAATCGAGTTAAAAATTGACAAGTCCAGTGGTTGGAGAAGGTGGGTTGTATGTGGCGCTAGCTTGATAATTTTTATATTTTCCTCGTTTGCCAAATTAACTATAGCCGTAGATACATGAGTTTTATGGCCATCATATATAATAAGTTATATAACAGTATTTTTGAAATAATTTAAAAACGTTTCCTCATCCATCCAACCTTTTTGACTGGTAGCATACGAGATACCGGGAAAAATACTGTCTGGAGCCTGCCACTGATCCCATATATTGGCGCCTTTACAAATAATTAGTGGCGGTGCCTTTTCCCCTGCAGCACTTGTCAGAAAACATACTGTTGTGTTTTCGCGCCCGGGGGTGCTTGTTACTCTTGCATAGGGTTTTCTACGTTTACCAACCACTTTTTTTATGCTAGGATCAATGAGAAAACTACTTTCATCAAGGTTACAAATTTGGGCAGGTTTATCTTTTAGGTTGTTCTTTTAAAGTTTTTTCCAAAAGATCGAAGTATTGATAAATAATAAATGGATTAGTAGCTTTTTTTCTAGCATACTCAACTGACTGGGGTACTTTAATGCTTATGCCTTTTTTTAAAACCTAGGAACCAATTATTTCCTGGCATTCCATTTTTAAAAGGAGTTTCTAACTTATTTTCTTCAACGAAAAGAGAAACTTGTTTCAAAACTTCCTTTTTTGATAGTCCAAAACCCCACTTTTCCAAAGTGGCCAGTCCAGAGGCTAACTCCTGCTCTTGATTGCCCGTTAATGCTGTTTGTCGACCTTTAAAGTTTTTCTTCATTCCTCGAAGTTCTTTTACGCGACTATATATGGTACTGTATGGTATGTTATATCTTGTAGACGCCTTATATATTGTCAAATGTCCCACTTGTCATTCTCGTACTGCTAGCTCCAACGTTTCTATTGGGTTCTTAGGGTCTTTGGTTTCTTTTTTCTTATAAATTTGAATCATTTTATCTGAAAAAATAAAAGGGGTAAATGTAATAGCCTATGGGGTAAATGTAATATAGTATAAAACACATTTACCCCGACCTCCTTTTTTCCGCGGGGTAAATGTGTTATAGGCCTTCAGAAAAAAAACTCATGAATCATTTAAAAAATTTAACTTTCAAATACTTACCCGAAAACTATGTATCTGGCGGCTATTTTAAAAAACACGTGCTGAATTTGGTTACTGAGTGAAATAACAGCAGTCCACCATGCGGCGTCTGAAACCGATCTGAAGCGGGTTTTGACGCGCTTGTTTGATTTAGGCGGCAACTAGAAAGTAGCTGCTTTCAGTTAAGGAGGGAGCGGATGACTTTCGATTGATGAAGTAGGAGAGCTGTTGAGTAACACATTTGCCCCATTTTTACAATTATCCCAACTTATCTTAACTAAGTAATCAAATTAATTTAATAATTAACCATTAATATTTCATATGTAGGAGCATTGAGATACGATGATCAAGGTGCCATTTACGTTAAGGCGGGTACATATCTGAGCACGTACGCGTATGAGGCAAGGCGGGGCCAAACCGAATGCCTCGTGCAGCACATTTTGTAGACACAAATGGTAGACACACGAGGCACTGTTCGCTACTGATCCAGTGAATTCGCGAGCACGGAACCGTACACCCAGAGTACTGGTAGTTGAGTGCCTGTTTTATTATTTGTCTTGCTCTCCATAAATTATCTCGCTAAATATATACACCCAGGAGAAGCAAACACCTTTTCCTGACTCCACTTCATACAAAATAGACCTTGAAAACTTGCTATAATCTATTCGGTACAAATTCCCCGTCCAGACTGAGTACGTACTGCGCACTGTCTCCCTTTGATGTACCGCCAACAAACGCATCGGGTCGAGGCCGCACGGCGCAATTTGCCGCGCCTCGGAAGCTCGTCCACATCTGCATGCTCATACGTCCTCGGCTTGCCTCATACGCGTACGTGCTCAGATCTGTACCCGCCTTTAGGTTACGATCTGATTTTGATCTAACGAGCTAAGCAACTGATTTTGTAATTCTACACACCTTGTATATGTAAGAGCTATGTTTTTGTGATTATAATTAAGGTTAAATATTATTGGTGGTACTAATTTTAAATCTTTGTGTCTTTCGAAACGAGAGTGCCTATAGGGGAGTCACGGCTATCAATAGATTTTCATCGGGGTCTATTTACGAAAAAGTTTATGGTTTTTGTATTTGTGACGGGTAGAGAGTGGGTTCTCATACGGCACTTAGTCCTAACTAGGCCCATTGTGCATCCTCCTATGATGATAGGCACCTCCTAGCTCGTGAGCCAGCCAACAGATTTAATGTGGTTGACAACGTCGCAAGAGGTGCTTCTCTTATATCGGCTAGTGTTAGCCAATACTCGCCGAACACAAATCTTTTAATAAATAAGAGCGTCGAGCAATCGTAAAGGATATGCTCGATGGTCTCATCTTCTTGTCCCACACCCTCTGCAGAGTACAGTTTCTTATAGCCCCATAATATGGAGATGCTTCCGTACTTGGCAATGACCAGTCATAATGCCTGTGACTAGGCGCAGATACTATCTAGTCAT